CAGGTTTGAGTGAGGCTATATTGAGGGAAAGATCAAGAACAGAAAGGTTGCCAGGGATTTAGCTCAGCGGTTTGGTGGCCTGCCTTGCAAGCGCAAGAACCGGAGTTCAATCCCCAGTACAAGAAAAAAAAAGAACAGAAAAATGAAATTATAGTTTTATGGTTTAGTAAAATAAACTATGAAAAATATGAGTACTCTTTGGGGATTCTGAACTAATTATCTCTGCCTTGTGTATTTAAGAAGTAGAGGAGAAGCTGGTGTGGACAAGAATGGCACAGATGCTGACAGGTCCAGCCAGGGCCCCATCCTGACCCCAGCCACTTGGGGTCAAAGGCCCCAGCCAAAGACCCTCCTGGAAAAGACCTGCACAGGCACAAAAGCAACAGCCAGAGTCCTTCCCCGATACCATCAGTAAGTACACTCAGACCTTTGCCAGAAACCCATCCAGACACCAGCAATTGGGGTACACAGCCATCAGCCAAAGACCATCCCACACAACAGCTATGTAGGAGGGCAGGCCCTAGACACAGGCACACTTAAATAACATCCAAGTGTGCACAGGCACCAACCAGAATCCTGCTGGACAACAGAACAGTGCAGGGATCCAGAAGGCCACAATTCTGAACCCAGGAATTGGGGTACTGGTGAGCAGCAGAGAAAAGGCCACTCCATGGCTTGCTGAGAAGTGAAGACTTCTAGATGAGCAAAAAGTTGCCTCAACAAAGGCTCAGAAACCTTCATCTATTAAAATGAGAAGACACATAACCAGACTTCCAGATCACCTACGGCAACTCCAAAGGACAACGAGATGAAACACTGATACTCAACCACCTGGACTCCCTGAACTGGCAATGAAAGAGCATCTGGAAAAAATAAAATCAGAAATAATTTCTCAGATAACAACAGAGATTATGTCCATAGTGCAAGATGGTTAATAAATCTAGAGACGGCACAGATAAAAAAAAATAGAGGAGCTGAGGAACATGATGGAAACCCAACATAGGAAACAAATGGAACCCACAAAGCAGATGCAAACAGATATCCAAGAGATTAAAAACTCCACTGAAAGTTTACACAGCGGAATGAGCTAATGTGAGGACAGAATTTCAGATATAGAAGACAGGATTGCAGTTAGTGACCAGGAAAACAAACATTTCTTAAAAATAGCAAGGGACCATAAGAAATCGATCCAGCAGCTGCTAGATGATGCAAATAAGGATAACTTAAGACTGACTGGAATCAATGAAGAAACAGGAAAGAGTGCAAATAACAAAAAAAAAACTGTTCAGAGAATGAAAGAATTTGACATACAGATAAGTGAGGCATATAGGACTCCAACTAGACATTATCATTTTTTTTTTGCAGTACTGGGGATCAAACTCAAGACCTTGCACTTGTGAGGCAGGTGGGGTACCACTGAGCTAAATCCCCAGCCCTTTTTTTCCCAACTAGACATTATCAAAAATAATCTACACCTAGGAATATGATAGTTAAGATTCCAGAAACCCAAGAGAATAGAATTTTACAAGCAGTTAGAGAAAAGAAACAAGTCACCTATAAAGGAAAGCCCAACAGAATCACAGCAGACTTTTCAACACGAACCCTCAAGGCTAGAAGGGCTTGGAGTAAAGTATTTCAAGCCCTAAATTAAAACAACCTCCAACACGGATGATGTACCCTGCAAAACTATCTTTCAAAATCGATGGAGAAATAAGATACTTTCATGACAAAGAGCATCTTAGGAATTTCATGAACACTACACCAACACTCTAAAAAATTTTAAACAATATCCTAGGAAAAGACAATGAGGATCACAATCCCAGTAAGCCCAGCAAAATGAATTGATCAGGCATGACAAGAAATTAGATGCAAAGGGGGAGAATCCAACAAAAAGAAAAAGTCATGAAAAGGATAAGTTAATACATATCAGTTATAACCATCAATGTTAATGGTCTCAATTCACCAATCAAAAGAAATAGACTGGCAGAATGTGTCAAGAAGCAAGATCCAACAATATGCTGCATACAAGAAACACTCAATTAAAAAAGAAACTCATACTGAAAGTTAAAGGGTGGAAAACAATACTCCATGAGACAGGAACAAAAAAAAAAGCAAGAGTAGCTATCCTCGTTGCAGTTCAAGTGGATTTCAAACCAACACTGATTAAGAGGGACAATGAAGGGCACTACATCATTATAAAGGAAACAATCCAAGAGCAAGAACTGACAACCATAAATATATGTGCACCAAATATTAGTGCGCCCAACTATATAAAAGAATTACTAAAAGACATGAAAAATCAAACAAGCACTAATTCAATAGTATTGTATTACTGTCACAAATAGATCAATTAGACAAAAAATAATGAAATACTGGATATCAGCATTCATGTACCAGGTTCTATATTGCAAAACAGTATTCATCTGAGGATAAACTAATGCTATGTAATACTATGACTGAGCTAAAACTTGTAAGATTTTTTTTCCTACCAAGAGTTGGGTTTTAATTTCTCAGTATGTCTGTATTTCTCAAAATTGAATTGTAGGCCTTGGAAAAAAATAAATTCAATAACATAAGGCGCATTCCAAGGAAAATGAAAACAGAATATTATTTTTCCTTAAAGAAGGTCAGAAAGAAGAGAGGCAGAGATCCACGTTGGCAGAAAATGTGAAAATAAATCAGAATTGCATACTTGACCTTGTTTTTTTAACTTTTTAGTCTATAATTTACATGATTGCATTGTTCTTCTGTTACAATTTAGTAAAATGTATCTGTTTCTATGACAGATGATAATTTTGATTAAACATAGAAGATAATATTGTGATACATCAGAGAGTTACATTCAATTTGATGTTATGATCAGAAAACCATAATTTTAATCCATCAGTATCAAATAATTACCTGTGGATCTTTTCCTACTGTGAAAGGAGACTAGTTTTGAGGACATGAGTAGTGTGAATTATCAGAAAGCTTTGATCAAGCAGAACAAGCCAAAGTCTCTCTCTCTCTCTCTCTCTCTCTCTCTCTCTCTCTCTCATGTGCATGCGTGTGTGTGTGTGTGTGTGTGTGTGTGTGTGTTTTCCTGGATCACTGCAAGATAAACTAAGGTGGTTAAAAAGTATACTATCAGAATTTCAGGGGAAATACCATAAATTATTCGCCATAAGTAATAAAAATCAATCTTTTTACCTTTCAGACAACAGACCTTCTATCAACATCACTGTCAAGAAAAGGTATATATGATGAAATGTACTGAGAAAGCAACATAGTAAGAGTATTGTCTAATATGTTATGAAAAAATATGTTGATTAGATAATCAGCAATTATCTATTGACATCAGTCTCCTACTGGCTTATTATCTTCTTCAGCTTTCACTCCCAGTTAATCTTGGGGCTTGTAGGCATCCAAAGTTATTGTTAAAAGAGAGTGTTGGCCCCTTGGGCACGGGGCTTAGGAGAGTAGGGTGGGGAGCCTTAGGATGTCTAATCATCACAGGAAAAGTGTCAGGTATCATAAACCCACTCTATAGGAAGTCATTAATAGAATTCCCTTTGCAGACCACTGCAAACCTGGCTCAGGACTGAGAATCCTATTTCTCAGGCAGGTTAGCCAGGATGCCTGGATCTGTATCATAAGTTTCTTAGAAGTTAAAAAAAAAATCTTAAATTGGCTACTTCATCAAAAGAAAGGACTTGGTCACCTGAATGCTTCAATATGGACTAGGCAAAGCTAAGAAGGTAAATTCATTGAACCCTAATTTGGGCTGGACAGCAAAAACATGTATGAGAGGAAGGTTTGGGGGAGCACCACACACTCTTACCCTTTCACACATATGCCTGTTCAATTAATAGAACATGTAACAAACAAAAACACACTAACACCATAAAGTATTTCTTGGTTCAATAGTTTAGTGAAAATAAGCTGAAAAATCACATTCTATTTATCACATTATGCTTCATTAAAAGTGTTAAGAATGTCCCTATTTTATATATGAAGAAATACTAGCAATCCTGAGCAAAAATGAAAGTATGCTATACATTATCTCTAGTAATAAGGAAATGATATCTATCGAAGTTCTTAGCTCGTATATGTTGGAATTGATTTCAACAAATACAGATTAAGAAAATGAGTAACTTCTCCATTGATACTTATAAGTATTTAATTTAGGATATGTTTATATAAAACAAGCACTTTTCAACCATAACCGTCACCCCAAAGTATGTCTCAATTTGTAATTTTCCAGTCTACGTAATAGGTTTTTTTTAAATGTTGTAAAAAACCAGATAATGGTAATAATTGTACAACATTTTGAATGTACCTAATGCTGCTGAACTGTACAATTTAAAATGGTAAATTTTATATCATGTGTATGTTATTACAATTAAAACTCATTGAGGATGCTGGGCATGGTGGTGCACATCTGTAATCCCAGCATTCAGGAGTCTGAGGAAGTTGGATCACTGCAAGTTCAAGGCCAGCCTAGTCCTAAACATGAAAACAGACTGGCCAGTACTAGAAAAGCTGGCTGTTCCAGATATGGACAAATGTCTCCACATATTAATATCCCTAGCATGGTCCTTTAGTCTGATGATTAAAATGAAAAAAACAACTGTACAGAAGAATACTTTTTTCATCTATCAAAGATGAAAAAACAAAATTACAAGAATAATTTCCTCATTACTCGTCAACAGGAGAAATTCTGGACTTAAATATAAAAGAAATGTTATGTTAGCTCTTCTACAAGGTCTGCTTGTTCAAGCAAGTAACATTTAAAAATTGGAGGTTATATATTGACCTTCCAGCTTATAATAAAGATTTTGCTAAGGTCACACCATGTTTGAATGAAGGCATTTGGATTTTCAACCACGATGAAATGCATAAAATACAAAAACCATCAGAAAACCCAAATATAAATATTTTCACAGAAGTGCTAAAAGACACACCTTCCATGTTCCTTGGTCACTTCATCAATAAAAAGGGTGAAGAAGCTTCATATTTACCTCAATGAAACCATTAGGTTTTGCACATCAAGAATGGGTGGGCCAGATGCTCTCTATGGCAGAAATCCACCCTATAGCCCAAGAAATAGCAGGTGCTGTATTAAAATACTTCACATGGCATCATGTCACATCTATGCCAGTAAATTTTACATATTTTTCATCAGTACACCAAACTTACCTGGAAAATGCTGATGGACTGACAAGATCCAACAGAAATATGGCTTGAGAGTAAGAAGATGATGAAATTTTTAGCTGTACTTGGTAGAGCTCCAACAAAACATTCATGGTTAAAAACTGGAAAAAATGAATCAACATTTGAACCTTTAATTCACATTAATGATAAGATCACTCATACAATTTTTAAAAGTTGAAGTCATTTATTTGTCAAACATTGCAAATATACTTCAATTAAAGAAAGTCATGCTTCCAGTTCAAAGCCTGCATCTAGCAATAAATCTTTTGTTTCAACTTCTACTTAGTATATACACAACCAAAGTGATAAAAATTGTTCTGGGTGCTATCCAGAAAGAACTGAAGTACAGTAAGAAAAATCAGAATTTTAGGGTAAGAACATTAAAGATACAAGATTTCTTGTTAATGCTGAAAAGAAATTAGATTCTGTTGTCAGAAAGCTAAACAATAGCCTTATGATAAGTTCTTTAGTAACATATTTGTACGGTATTAAGTGGAAAGACAGGTAAAAGCAGTGTTACAGTCTCTTCAAGGGAGATAAGGTCTGAAATATCAATGGCATTGTTAACATCAATTAACAAACATATTTTCCTTTTTGCTGGCCACCTAGACAAAAGAAAGTTCCAAGATGTGCCAGATTCCAAGGGTTAGATAGAATTGGAGATGCTTTATATGGCATACCATGCAGCCCATAGGAGACCATCTGCATTCTCATCTGACAATAAGCCAGAGACTGGATTGGTGAGAATTTGAGAACAACCATTGCATTGCAGCTTGATATATGGCTCATCTGTCATGTAATTCCAGAAAATGTCATTACAAAAATTATGTAGCACTGAAGTAAACAGCAATTCTGAATTTACAGTTAGTGGGTGTACTGCTTCATTTTTTGAGGAGACTACTGGATGCTTTGACATTGTCTCCAGCATGGTGCCTAGTGTGATCTGGCAAGGCAGTCAAGCAAGAGATGATTAGCAACAGTGGAGCAACTACAGCTACCAAAGCAAGGAACACAAAAGGAAAGTGAAAGCTGAAACTCATAGTCATAAGAAAGTGAAAACTGAAAACTAAAAGTCATGACTTTAGAGATCCTCTAAATGGTGTTTGCTAAATTGGAGGGATTTGTCAATAGAAATTGTAAAACTCCCCCCAAATATAAAGACCCGATTCAAAAATGGGCATCTAAAATGAACAAACATTTCTCAGATAAAGAAGGAAAAGCAGCAAGTAAATATATGAAAAAATGCTCCACATCACTGGTCATTAGAGAGATACAGATGAAAACAACACTGAGATTCGACCTCACCCCACAAAGAATGGCTGCTATCAAGAAATCACACAATAACAAAGTTGTGGGGAGAAAGGAACCCTTCTCCACTGTTGGTGGGAGTGCAGACTGGTGCAACCACTATGGAAATCAATATGGAGATACCTCAAAGAGCTTGGACTGGAGATTCCATTTGACCCAGCCATCCCTCTGCTGGGTATCTTTCCAAAAGAACTAAAAGAATCATATCACAGTGATGTATGCACACCCATGTTTATAATGGCACAGTTTGTAATAGCTAAAACTTGGAAACAGCCCATTTGCCCATCCGTTGGAAACTGGATAAAGAAGATGTGGTTTTCTATAAAATAGAATATTACTCAACCATAAAGAATGAGAAAATAGATTCATTCATAGGAAAATGGATACATATAGAATAGTTTCTGGTGTGAATAAACTGTAATAATACATAAGATCCTAATAAGATTACTGACACTGTCAAATGGGAAGAAAGTGGCTAAAGGTGTAGGAAAGGTGGGATGGGTAGGGGAAGTGTAATAAGGGAAAAGAAAAAAATGTGAGATAATGAAAAGATGGAAATAAAGTGTTTGTAGATGGGGAGGGGGGGTGAAGGGAG